TATTAGGGAGCAGGCAGTGTTTGGTTATATGAGTAAGTTCTTTGGTAGTGATTTATAAGATTTTCGTGCATCCATCATATGCTGCACCCTATTTGTAGTCGTTTTTATCCCTCACCCTCTTCTCACCCTTTCCCTGAGTCCCCAAACTCCATTGTGTAATTCTTATGCCTCTGCATCCTCAAAGCTTAGATCCCACTTATGAGTGAGAGCATATGATGTTTGGTTTTCCATTCATGAGTTTCTTCACTTAGAATAATAATCTTCAGTTTCATTCAGGTAGCTACAAATGCCATTACATTATTCCTTTTTATGGCTGAGTAGTATTCTATTGTGTATGTGTGTGTGTGTGTGTATACACACACACACACACACACATACACAATAGAATACTATAGATATATAGACACTATATATATACACACACACATATGTATATATATATGTAATCTAATGTGTGTATATATATTCTATTGTGTGTGTATATATTCTACTGTGCATATATATTCTCTCTCTGTATATTCTATTGTACATATATTCATCTGTATATATATACTCTGTGTATATTACAGTTTCTTTATCCACTCATTGATTGATGGACATTTGGGTTGGTTCCACATTTTTGCAATTGTGAATTGTGCTGCTATATACATGCATGTGCAAGTATATTTTTTGTTTTCTCAAACTAAGTGCTCTTGAAAATTGATTTTCATGAAAAATTAAAAATTTTAACGTAAAATTTTAGCCTGAACCAATGATTAATGTTTGAAAACTAAATCTTTTTTAGAATGTGGTCACTTTGATTTTGTTATTATTCTGTTAATTTTCATAAAGTTTAGTTTTAGGTAATTCTAAAATTTTAATGTATGTTTACACTAACATTTTATTTAATATTGTAACTGATATATTTTTATATGTGATATATTCCAGCTTTGTCATTTTTAATTTGAATATTCTTGTTCTTTTGTCTTTCATAAAGTGCCTATTGTATTTTAGCCAGACTCTGATTTCTACATTAATTTTATTAAAATTAATTGTGAGGTTTTGTTTCTTTTATTTTTCCAGTTCAATTTTTATTTTTCTTAAGTTACATTCCAAAACTTGTGGTCAGGTTGGTTATTCTGTTGGTTTTCTGGCATAATAATCTTAAAACAGGGTTGGTCTCATTTTGGCATACTAAAAATCATTTAGCAAAGCATTAAGTCAATGAAAACTAAAAAAGTTTTAGTTTTCAAACATTAATCATTGGTTCAGGCTGAGATTTTACGTTAAAATTTTTAGTTTTTCATGAAAATCAGTTTTCAAGAGCACTTAGCTTGAGAAAATAAAAAATATACTTGCACATGCATGTATATAGCTCCAAGATAGTTAGAAAGTCACTATTTAATTATAATTCTCATTCCAGTAGTAAAAATATTAATAAAGTTAATGCAGTTTTATTTCTAGTAATACATACATATTTTATTTAGATATACATGTTTTTTTAACTAACAGATTAACTAGAAAATTACAGTCTACATTAATAGAATATAACTACTAACTTGGCAATAATTCCTATATCTTGTGGTTATGAATCTGGTCTCCATCATCTTTATCCTACCCTGTTCTCTCTGACAGCTTGTAATACAAGATAGATTCAACAGCCCTTTTTCAACCTTTGGAATGTTTTTCCAAGTGTAGGTACCAGCATCTAAGTCTATCTCCCCAGCAAATTCTGCCCAGTATTTGATTAATCGTTTGTCTCCCAGGTTGATTAGTCAGTCTCTGATACAGGCACGTCTCATATTATCATGTTATTTTTATGGCATCCTAATTATTAATTTTTTCCTTTTTTTATACAACCTATTTTTTATTTATACTGATGGACAAATAATTACCTTAATTAATTTGGTTTGACATTTTGTCAAGACCTCTATGTACTTCATAAACTTTCAGCAGTATGAAAAATTTGTATTGTGAGACCATGGCTAGTATAAAAAGCTTTTATGTGTATGCTTAAATCAAGTAAACAAGAAGAACCATTATTGCCTAGGATATTGAGATGGATTATGAATTGCAATAGAAAAATATTTCTCTACCTATGAAAAATTAGATTTAAACTTCATTGTTTTATGTATCTATGTAATGTACATAGATACATATGCTGTATTGTATATCATATATAAATGTAAAACATATGTATAAAAAGTACATATTAGTTCACACAAAAAATTGGAAAATATAAAGAAAATATTAATATTTTTAGTACTTGAATCTAATCCTGTTTTAACTCTTAATAGAAGTGTGGCATTGGGAAAATAATCCCTTATAATATTAAAATTGATATGATACTAGTACATTTCTTATATAACTACTAAGAGGCATACATTTATATTTTTATATTTCTGCACTCAAATAACAATTATTAAAATTTCTTTTTAAACATTTCTGTCATTAAAAATTATATTTTTATTATATTAGGACAAATCCAAGATGAATTAAGTTAGTTTCTCCTTTATATATTTTCTGTTTTTTATAGTTTCTGTTTCTTATAGTTTCTTTTTCTTATACATGCTAAGGTCTTTCATAGAATCTATTAAATTATTTGTTGTATCAATTGTTGGCAAAGATTATATCTTTTAAACTTCTATTGTTTAATAAAAAGCTTAAATTTTTTAAGTATGTGATAATTTATTCTTACATATATATTTATGTGTGTGTGTGCTCACATTTATTTCAATTCTTTCCTTAGATAGAATTTACAGTTGATTTGTTACATATTTTACATATAACCATAATTTTTGCTGCATTAAATATAAAACATCAATACAGTGATATTGCTAATTAAAATATAAATAATTAAATTTAAGCTAAGTTTAATGATTAATAACTTGGTGCTAAGACCAGTATAGACAAATATGTTAATAAAGGAGAATAGAACCTAAAATGATTTATGGAAGAATAGCCTAAATTTAAAGTGGTATTTTATGAAATAAACAAATAACAAATATATTTTAAAATTACAAAACATATTTTAAACGTTGGCCATGTAATAGCACAAACTTAATTTCATGACATTCTTTCTTTTCCTTTCTCCATGTTCAGTTTCCACATTCAGATTCTTTACTTTGGGGAACAGATTGCAAAACGGAAAAAGAGTAAATGAGATTAAATATGCAGGCCATGTTATAGTCATGTAGTTAATCTTAACAAGCTTTGAATTTGCTATATTGGCAATAAGCAAAAAAAGGATGCTTCTAACTGAGAATGTTTAGAAATATTACTGATGAAAGATGGACTGTTTAATAACTATGTCAATTATTGTTAAAATATTTTAAACTATTTTGTGTTTGTTTCCTTACTTTATTTAAATAGGTCTCTACATTTATTTGTGTGTTATGTATTCCTGTAAGTATTATTTTGCTTTTTATATTCTTGTGTTATACATTAAGGGGAAATACCTACTATCTCATCAGTAAAAAGCCACATAATATCCTAGAAAATAACTTGAAATCCAACTCTATATTTTATTCATTATGGCTTTCTATAATAACTATGTCCTACAGAAGTTTCTGTGATAAAAGGAGTGTTCTGTATCTTCCCTGTCCAGTACAGTAGTCACTAGCCATATGTGATGACTACTGAACATTTGTAATGTGGTTAACATGACTGAGGGCCTGAGTTTTAATTGTTTTTATTTTAATTAATTTTAATTTCAGTGGTCACTTGTGGATTGTTCTATTGTGAAAATATCTATCTGGATTGCTGCAACATTACTTCTACATTTCTTTTTCTTACTGTTCTGATATTTTGTATGCATCATCCCTAATTTGATATTTGGCAAATTCATAACTGTAATCTAGGCATTATAATTGTCAATTATAATGATCACTTATTTCTGCATATATCAGTTAAAAGGAAGCCAGGCACATATACATTGATATGAAATTACTGTTAATATAGAACAATGTCCTCAGTGAAATATTAAGAAATAAGAACAAGCTGCTCAACAGTATAAATAGTAGAATTTTATTTCTGTAAAGAGTAAGTGTTTATGTGCATCTGTGTTTGTGTTTCTGTATTTCTGTGTGGTTTCCAACACATTTTAAAGAATTATTTTTAAAAAGTCACCTGTTGTCAGTGTTTGCTGCTGGAAAGTTTGTAATAGAACGTAATATGATTTCTGCCTCCTGGTATCTTGACTTTGTGTAATGCCCTCCTCTTAAGTGTGGTTGGGACCTGTGACTTGTTTCTAACCAACAGAATTTAATAAAGGTGATGAGATATATGTGATTATGTTACTCTTTATAATAGCATATAAAAGGTCCTGTCTGTTTTATCCATAATTATAGCAACTAAACACACCATACTGCAGTGCATTTTGGAGGTTCTCAGTTTATTGAAAGACTGAATAAATAACAAGTGCTGTTTACCAAATAAATGTCATTGAAAATTTTTAGCTTTTAGCCTTGTGAAGAGACTGTTTTCCTCGATGACTTTAAAGAATCAAGCTGCTATGTTGTTGGCTTTTCTTTGGGGTGGACCACATGTCAAAAACGTGAAGGCACCATCTAGCCACAGTCAGCAAATAACTGGGGCAGGCATGCAGGTGTTCTACAATAAACTATAAGTTACCACAAACCTTGTGATCTTAAGAACAGATCGCAAAATGGAAAAAGAGTAGATGAGTCTAAACACGCAGGACATGCTATAATCATGTATTTAAGCTTAACAAGCTTTGAATTTGCCGTATTGGCAACAGGTCAAAATAGGAGGCTTTTAGCTGAGAATGTTTACGCATATTACTAATGAAAGATAAAGAATGTTTAATAACTATATCAAGCAAGAGGGAGAACTACCATCTGCAAAAATAATAGTTAGATACTTGGGAATCTTAATGTGGAGATTGAATATGAAGAAAAGAAAAGAAAGAATCTTATGAAATTAAATTTGGGCTATTATATGAACAAATATACAGAATAAACAATCAAATTACAGAATAAACAATCAAAACCTAATTTCGAGCTGACACTACAGTAACATGCTGACACAGCTCCTGTCCTGGAGTGCTAGAGTTCTTGATGTATCTACGGGTCTTAATTCACTAGCAGGGGCAATCAGTGACTGTGTTAGTACTCAGATCTAAAACATGGCCTACCTAGATACCAGGAGGTGTGGCATGGTAGGCATCTTTCCTCATACCCATCAGGGAGTTGGGTATAAGAAATCATAAAGTAAATAGGCTAATGAATTTAAATATGCAAAAGTGAATATATTCTGTACATAGTAAGGCAGTAGTCAAGCAAAATATATTTTATCATGTATAACCAAAATAGAATTAGTGTCCATGAAATGTGCCAATAAATATAAAACATTTTTAAGTCTATAACAACCAATAAGCACTTCACAAATGTTATTTATAATTATTATTATTTTATGAACATATAAAGAGCTTCTTAATGTCATAAGAAAATAATCTAAGAAGCATCAGCTTTATATAAAAGTGGGCAAATAATACGAATAGCAATTTGCAAAAAGAAAAGCAAAATGTCTAGTAAGTATGTTCCAATCTCATCAGTAATCAGGGAACTACAGATATCATTTATATCTAGTAGAATGGCAAAAATTAAAACAGCTTCATTTTATTTTATTGAGACAGGGTCATATTCTGTCCCCTAGGCTGGAGTTAAAGGGTATGACCATAGCTAACTTTAGCACAGAACTCCATGTGATTCTCCTGCCTGCCTCAGCCTCCCAAGTAGCTAGGACTACAGGAACATGCCACTGTGGCTGGCTATTTTTTTTTTTTAATTTTAATTTTTATTTTTTTTAAGAGATAGGGATCTCACTATGTTGCCCAGGCTGGTCTTGAACTCCTGGCCTCAAGCAATTCTTCTGGCTCAGTCTTCCAAAGTGCTAAGATTAAAGGGTGTGAGCCACCATGCCCGGAAAAACAATTCTTAATAAGAGTTGTTAATAAGGTTGAGGGGCAATGGAAATCTTATTAATTACAGGATTTAAAAATAGATTCAACCATGCTCTAAGGCTATTTGGCAAAAGCTTAGAAAAATTGAAAACTAACATATTCTATACTCTACAGATTTTACTACTAGTAGATATTATATATGACTTTAATACATCTGTACAATGTGATATTTATAAGAATATTGTTACATTTTTCAACATTTAACAGTCAGAATTAATCTAAATATTCTCAAAAATTCAAATGGACAAATGATGTTCTGTTTATACTGTGACATATCAAAACTAATAAACTAGAGATATCAGTATCAACAGGAACAAATTTCAAAAATATTTCATGTGAAAAAATTCAGGAGGTATATACAATATTACATGAAAAACATACAATTTTTTCATGTGAAAAAAATCAGGAGGTATATAAAATTTTAAAATATATAAGCTGATGTTATATATTTGTCAATAATGAAAATTAAATAATAATAAACATCAAACTCAGGAAAGCAGGTACTCAAGAGATAAAAGGATGAGCATGTGATCAAAAAAATATATATGGAGAGAAGTCTTTATAGAAGTTTTCAACTTTTAAAGCTATAATTTATTTAAAATAGAAAAATATATCTGAATCAAACACATCAAGGGATTAAGATCTGACCATACATACAAGAAGAAAGACAGATACAGATATTTGTTATATTTTTCTAATATTTAATGTATACTTAAGATATTTCATAATAATTACAGAAGAAAAGGGTTGATAAATGTAGGAAGATAATATAACTCTAACTTTGACAATTTTTAGATTTGTTGTAAGGGAGAACAGAAAAGCAAGGTCAAAGAAGATTGGGAGAATAGGACAATAACTCTGTCATAAACAGGAAAGGGAGATTCAAGAGGAAGAGGTTTTCTGGAGAAATAACACATTGAGTTTGCCAGGAAAAAGTTTCAGGTACATCAGATATCTAGTGTCAGTAATACATACCAGAGGTTGAATATAGAGACAGACAGGATATAAGATGAAGTTCTGGAAGTTACCAACATAGAAATTATACAATCAGATGAGGGTTAGGGAGTAATTGAAAAGAAGCAAAACTCCTTTGAAAATTATTATTTGCATATAGCAATCCTAAATTGCCAACAAAATTAGACATAAACACAAAAATAAATAAGAAAGGCATTATGAAGATAGGATTTAAAGAATGTGACAACAGTATATGGACTTGTAGGAGTGGGGCAAGCTTGACTGAGAGAAAATCAAGGGAGAAACAGGCTTCAAGAACAACTAAAAGATCACATGCCTAAGAACATCAATTTTTCTAGTAATTTTTATTTGTGGGCCTCATGATTATTCCTTCTTTTATACGTTAAGACAGCAAGTAAAGCTTAGAAATCCAACTATACAGTGACAGCTTTATAAAATGCAATGTGAAGGGAGGATTACTCTGACACCTTCATACTTCAAATCAATTTGTTTATAGTGGAAGAATTTTGTTAGCTACATGTGGCTTTATGCAAAAAGTGCTACAGAAACATAGTAAAGCTATTCTGTGGTTTTGGCATCTAATAGCGTAGCATTTATTTCTACTCTACCTTCAGTTTTTACTTAAAATATTGTATTTTCATTTCTATCTACTCCAGTTAAATTTGTTCTGACACAACTTTCTAATGAAAGGTGGCCACATGAGTTCTTATGGTTTAACAGTAATGTGATAACATTTTACCGTTTAAAAGTAATATTTAACAAGATGAATAATCAGTTCTGACAGTAAAATAAATTTGTGTATGAAGAAAACACTCTTTTACTAAAAGGCACACATATTTAAAAGTAATAGAATATCTCCATTTTTAAAACATTTTATATTGTTAGTCCACAACATAGAAGCATGTGAGAACTTCAGACTTCAGTTCTGTCAATGTTTGAAAAGTTGTTTTGAAAATACTCCAGCTCCAAGACATAAAATATCCTTGACAAAATAAAGCTAACATTCAAAAGGCACACCTGCATATGTAAGGAAATAGGAAAACTTTCCAGAGGATGCAAACTGTAGAATGTTAGAGAAATAGAAACATTCTTACACAGTCGGTGGGTGTGTAAATTAGTTCAACCGCTGTAGAAGACATTGTGGCGATTTCTCAAGGATCTAGAAACAGAAATTCCATTTGACCCAGCAATCCCATTACTGGATATATACCCAAAGAACTATAAATTGTTCTACCATAAAGACACATGCACACATATGTTCATTGCAGCCCTGTGTACAATTGCAAAGATCTGGAACTAATCCAAAGGCCCATCAATGATAGACTGGACAAAGAAAATGTGGTACATATACACCGTGGAATACTATGCAGCCATAAAAAAGATGAGTTCGTGTCCTTTGTAGGAAGTTGGATGAATCTGGAAACCATCATTCTCAGCAAACTGACATAAGAACAGAAAGCCAAATACTGCATGTTCTCACTCATAAGTGGGTGTTGAACAATGAGAACATGTGGACTCAGGAAGAGAAGCATCACACACTGGGGACAGTTGGTGGGGGTAGGAGAGAGACAGCAGGGGGTGGGGAAGGAGGGGAGGGTGGGGAGGGAGGGGAAGGTGAGGAGGGATAACATGGGGAGAAATGCCAAATATAATATGCACCTAAAGTAAAATAAATTAATTAAAAAAAGAAAAAAAGAAAAAAAGAAAGAAAGAAAGAATCTGCTGTGCTAAGCCCTTGCAGAAAATCTGGTAGGCTTGCAAACTTTTGATGATTTCAGAAACCTGGAGATTTGCTCAGGAACATGAGATGATGTTGGGAGCCTTGGATCTACTTCAAGTGGTGAATTGCCATACATAACCCCTCACTGAATATCTGGAAGTGTAATAATTGAATTTAAAAGTGAGAAGTGTCAAGTAGCAGACTGTACAGAAGACACAAAGACATATAGAAGAAATACAAAAGAGGGTTAAAAATAATATAATAAGAGTCCAACATCATTTCCGAGGCTCTAAAAAATATTAAGAGATGATGGACATGAAACAGAATAAAACAAAATCTTCCACCCCTAGATTCATCATAGTAAAACTGCAAAACACCGACGACATCAAGAACATCTTAAAAATAACCAAAGGAAACAAAAAAGGTAACCAATAGAAGAACTGAAATATTTTTTTTAAGTTAGAAGAAAAAATGAATTATAAAACTAAAATAGAACATCCACTTATCAGTGAGAACATGCGGTGCTTGGTTTTCTGTTCTTGTGTTAGTTTGCTGAGAATGATGGCTTCTAGCTTAATCCATGTCCCTACAAAGGACGTGAACTCATCCTTTTTTATGGCTTCATAGTATTCCATGGGGACACAGGAAGGGAAGCATCACACACTGGGGCCTGTCCGGGGTTGGGGAGGGCTAGGGGAGGAATAGTAGGGTGTGGGGGATTGGGAAAGGATAACATTAGGAGAAATACCTAACGTAGATGACGGAGAAATGGATGTAGCCAACCACCGTGGCATGTGTATACCTATGTAACACACCCGCACATTCTGCAGGGTACCCCAGAACTTGAAGTATAATAATAAAAATAAAAAATGAAACAGAAGACAAAAAGTTTAAAGAAGAAAGCATAGCATAAATTAATGTGGTAAAAATAATTCCAAATATTTCATATGTATTTCGATTGTCATATATCATAATCATATATAAAATATTCACCAAAAATATAAGTGCACAGAAAGATATACTGAAAAGGGGGAACTTTATGCTTTAAAATTACTGAGAAATATAAAGATTATTTCATAAAATATACTTTATCCAAACATAAAGAAAAAAGAGGTTACTACATCTTGAGAAATATAATACATACATATTTCAAAACATTTATCCAACTACTAATGTGCACAAATTAAAAATGATATTGCAATAAATGTGTGATAAACATCATGATACTGTGATATTTTATCATCTTTAAATAATAATTGATAAAACTAATAAAATTCAGTAACTAAATATAGACAGTTTGAAAAATATACTTAACAAACTTGATCTGATGGACATAATATAAAACATGTCACAGCAGCTGAAGAATATGCATTATTTTCTGATTTACATTTGACCTTTAAAATTATATATTAGTTTCAAAACGGACTTTCAACCATTTTCAAAGAATCGATGTCACATAGACTGACTAAAAA